GTGAGATTACTGCTAAATCTGCACTTGGGGAGGGAGAGGGGTGAGCAGAACGGACCCGAGTGGAGACTTGCACCTACTCTGCGCTCACTATTGTTAGCACGCACTGCAGACAGGTAGTGATGTGAAAAAGCGGTGTTAGTAGCCTGGGCACGCTGAGCAATGTCCCCGGGGCTCAGTTCCTGCGTGTCTGGCCTCGTCGGAATCGCGGGTGCAGAGGCAGACTTTATGAATCAAAAACCGAAGTGGGGACCAGGACAGTGTTTTTCACGACAGATACACGCTGTATAACTCATTTAGAAACGTCTCGTTATGCTGACACAGGAAACACAAGCACATACGTACACACGGAAATTTTAGATAAAACGTTAGTAAATCAAATCCAGTAGTGCATTAAAGTCACGCAACAGAAACAAGTCGATTTTTCGGTTCAAAGATTAGGCAAGACATGATTTCACCTAATATTTATGGGACACCTGGCTGGCTCTTTGGGCAAAATAGTGAAGCCGCAGTAGACACAGTTCCTGTCTTCTGCATTCGAAGGGATCGGACATCTATAGATCCTCGCATAAGCAAAGGTGAACGTACAACCGCAGCAAGAACTGCTGAGGAGCAGCACAGAGGGTTAAGGAAATGCTAACGGGGTGCTTGTCACGGCCTTGTTCACACCTTATGTTCCGATCCAATTCGTAGGAGAAGCAGTAAGTGAGGAAGGGCCCCCAGTGACAGGAGAGTGGGAGATGGAAACGGAGAGGAAGCCCGGCAACAAACGAAGGAGCTTGCTTACCCCATCAGGGGCCGTGGCTGCCCGAATACGTGTGTGTATGTATGTGTATGCACTATTAGAGGGATTAAAGGCCAATATTCAAAAACAGAACTTGGAAACGCTTAAGCAGAAAATTACGTAAACATTCTCGGTTTTGAAGTAGGTAAAGTTTTTAAAACACAAAAATTTTGATTATGTTAATATTTAAAATTTTGTTAAAAGATGTAAAGTGTAAGAACAAAAGTTATTATTTGTATGGGATCTTATGAATATTTTAAAAGTCTAGAAGAAACTGTGAAGTGCCATGCATGACCGGGGCAAGAGCTGCTCAGCAAACAGGCTGTTCTCAGTAAACAGCAGGATACCCCAAGCAGACCGTGCTGCCGCCCTCTGGTAAACAGAACAGATGTCCATAAAGATTTGAGGCTGGACATACAATTTCCCCGGGGCCGAGCAACCCAGCATTGTCCGCGCACACCTGCGCTGACCGTCCTGGGAGCTCTGACCTCAAACATTCCATCCAGATTCCTTGGGATTCCCAAACCCTATTGTCTTGGTTACTTTTTTCTCGCTGCTGGGACAAAATACCTGACGCCCAAAATTAAGGAAGGAAAGGTTTATTTCGCTTACAGTTCGTGGAAGTTTCAGTCCTTACTTGGGAGATCATAAGGCAGAGTGGCACGTGGCAGAGGGCTGCATCTCAGGACGGCAGCCACAGCTAAGCGACAACTCCCACCAGGGCGGAATGGAGGAGGAATGCCCCCGAGCAGCTTCTTTCTCTACCTTACATATGCAAACTATCCACCCCAGGGCAGGTGTAGCTCTCACACCCACAATTATTCAAACTCTAACAGCCTGCCCCATTTCCGCATGAGGCTTTGGGGGGACACACAGACATAAACCATAACACCTATAAAAACTTAGTTCTCCTCTGGCACAGCCACTGAGATCATTCACGATCTCAGCCTTGTTTGCACCCAGGCAAAATAAACCCAGAATTTTGCTCACATAAAGCCTGTCTCCAGGCAGTTTTTTGTGCAACACTAGGAATATAAAGTAAACATTTTAACTTAATATGAAAGCTTAGCAAGGTTGATTTAAAAATAAATTGCATATTTTATAAATGTAATTCAAGCAACTAAAAATACATTTTTTAGAAGAGGTACCACCTATAACCTCAAGGGATATCAAGAACTTGAAAAATACTTCTGACAAAATGTAGGCAGTCAGTAAGTATTGGGTTGGATCGGTGAACTTGTTTCGGTAGCAGCTTAAAGGCATCTGACTTATTTATGGCACAATAAAGTAGACTATAAGACAATAATTTGAAAATAGGAAAAATGTAATAAAAATTGAAAATTTATAAAAAATAGCTAATACTATTCCTAGTACTCCAGAGGTGAGGCAGGAGGATTGCTCCAAGTTTGAGATTAGCCTGGGCTACGTAGTGAATTCGAGGCCAGCCTGAACTACTGTACATAGGGAGTCCCTGTCTCAAATAGAGGTAATACTTAGTAGAATTTTATGTACAACCGCATTTAATTTTCTCTCTCAACAGTAATAGTATTTATTTACAGCTTCCCATTTTGAGCTTTACATACTTTAATTCTCACAACAACTGTACGGAACAGGTCATTGAGTAAGCTGAGGGAAACTAAATTGCTGGTGTGGTAATGCATGCCTGTATGTAATCCCAGCCATTTGGGAGGCTGAGGCAGGATGATCACCAAGAGTTCAAGGCCAATTTCGGCTACATATTGAATTCAAGGCCAGCCTGAGCTACAAAATGAGAACCTGTCTTTAAAAAAAAAAAAAAAAGATTATATAGTATATTTCTAGGGCTGCCATAACTGTTGATCACTGTTTACATAACAAACTTATTTTCTCATATTCTGGAGGCTAGGAGTCCAAGGTAAAGGTTTTAATAGGCTTGATATCTTCTAAGGCAGTGGTGGAGAACCTTTGAGAGCTTTCAGTTGTAACAAACAGCCAAGCATGGTGGCACAAGCCTACAATCCCAGCACCCAGGACACTGAGATAGTAGGTTTGCATGAGTTCATGGCCAGCCTGCATTATGAAGTGAGCCCTGTCTCATAAAACAAAGCAAAGCCCAAACAAACCCAAAGCAAAACAAAAGGAAAACCCAAACACCCTGCTGTGGCCTCTGTGCTTTAGGTTCGCCACCGTTCTTCTCAGGCCACTCTCCCTGGCTTGTAGATGGCCGGTTTCCTCCTGCATTTGCACACGGCCCTTTTCTCTGCCTGAGTCTGCGCCCTGTCCCTCCTGTCAACGCGCCCATGCTCCTGGATTGCAATGCCAACATATGACCTTGAATTACCTTAACTACTTCTTTAAATGCCTATTTCCAACTACAATCCGGTTCTGAGGAACTGAGGAGTCAGGACCTTCGACAGGTATATGTGAGGAGGGCACAGTTCAGCCACGTGCATCGTTGTTAGGGGCAGGGCTGCATCGGGGTGACTCCAAATTTATTATTATTTATCATTTAATGTATTCTTCAGTTTCATGACAATAATTACTGTTCCATACACATTTAAAAGATAATGTAGCCATGGTATGCATTTTAGATCTCCCCTTAGGATGACTCCTAAGAATCAGGATTTGGAATGATTGCATCACTGTTTTAAAATGTGATTACTATTTGTGAGGCTGAGGCAGGAGGATGGCAAATTTGAGGCCAGAGTAGGAATTAAAAAGACCCTGTCTCCAAATTTTAAAAATGAAAAGGATTAAGGATGTAGCTAACTGCTAGAGCACTTGTCTAATGTCTAGTGTCTGGTGTCCTGGGTTCACGTTCAAGTTCTGTAAATAGAATTAAAGATGAGATTAAGTGTGTATGATATTTATACTTCTTATTGTTAATAAAGGTTCCTTTAAATTAGTGATCAGCACCTTGACTAGTGTGGGAAATTGTAGCACATTAAATGTATTTTATTTTCATAATTGGCCTCTCAAATGAAATGATCTCAAAAAAGGGGTTCAAGATTCTATTGGGAGCATTTTTTTTCTGTTTTGTTTCTTCATTGGTAGAGATTGAATTCAGGGCCTGTGCATGCTGGGCAAGCACTCTACCACTGAGCTACATACACCCCTGGCAAAACACCCCCACCCCCATTTTGTTTTGTTTTCAAGAAATAGAGTCTCCCTATGTGGTTCAGGCTGGTCTTGAACTCAGAGAAATCCTCCTGTCTCAGCCTCTTGAGTGCTAGGATTACAGATGTGCACTGCCAGGCATGGCCACCTCTTTTGTGAAAGGACATTCAAACATCTGTTGAATATCAGCCAGTTTTCAAATGTTGCTTGTCTGTTTTCTTGTTTTGAGACAGGGTCTCCCTGTGTAGTTCAGACTGACTTTGAATTCTGTAGCCCAGCCTGGCCTCAAACTGACAGTGATTGTCCTGCCTCAGCCTCCTGAGTGCTGGGATTACAGATACTTGCCACCAAGAATGGCCTTAAATATTGATTTTTAAGAGACATTTGTAGATCATGAAAAGTATGAGATTATTTCTGTCTCTTCCATCTAAGTTACTTTGTTTTCAAACACTTATATAGTTATTTCGGTAATAACACATAAACGGACATAGCATCAACAGGCTTTAGAAATATCTCAACTACCTATAAAGTTTCCAAAATGCTTTTGCATACTCTCAGTAAAGTAAGCCTAAGGTATGAAGTGGGTGCTTCATGTTTCCAGAAGAAGAATGCTATTTCTGTTACACTTTTGCAGCTAAACATACTGAAAATGTCATGTTAAACAAGGGGGGGCTGGGGATTTAGCTCAGCGGCAAAGCGCCTGCCTGGCAAGCGCAAGGTCGTGAGTTCGGTTCCCAGTACCGGAGAAAAACCCAAAAAACAAAAAACAAAAAACAAAAAAAATAAACAAGGGATGCTGGTATACACTTGTAATCGCCGCATTTGGGAGGCTAAGGCAAGAAGATTGTAAATTCTAGGTCAGCCTGGACTACATAGTGAGATTCTATCTCAAAAAACCAAAAATAAAAACAAAAATCTTGTTGATATAGGAGAAGTATAATTCCTAACATGTTAGATGTCAAATGTGCAGAGTTTGTGGTCCCATAACATTGAGGAATGAAGTCACAAAATAACAAAGATGTTAGGGGGATTTTACTGGAAATAGAGAAGAATAAAGAATAGCTCTTGGATTTCCAGGAAGGGGTCCCGAATACAGCAAAGTTACAATGTGGGTCAAACTACAATCAAAATAGGATTATAAGTATAGCCATTTAGCTAATATTGATCTGATAGGGAAACAAGTCACACTGCAAGGCTACATGGAAGGAACAAAGAAGGGACAGGTCCAGTGCTCTGGTGACTGACTTACTGGACCAGGTGGTGCTAATTACAATATAATCTTAAATTATTGTTTATCTCTTAGGGAGGCATGTAGGCCTGGCCACTGCATCTTTACCTTGAGGCCAGGCCTTCATCAGTTATGCCCCCAGCAACAACTGTGATGTCATTATATTTTATAAATATTGTATGCTGACTTCCTTGAGAGCCCATTCCCTCTGACTGTATATTTGTTTGTATCCAATTTAGCTGCCTATAATAACATTAACATTGGGTCTTGCCTGGGGAGGGTATTTATTGATCTTTCTTGGGAATGAGAGAAAGAAGTATTAATCCCTTTGATCTTAGGACATGAAAGGAGAAATCATTTTGGTTTTTCAAGGGGAAAAGACACAGGAGAAAGGAAACTGCATGGTGGATTAAGTGGAAAGAACTGTCTCCCCAGAGACCTGTTCCTCTGTGGGTGTAAGGGGAAAAGGGTTTCTTTCCTCATTCATCATTAGGGTCATTAGGTTGCTGAGATCCCCACTGCAAAAGAGAGTAACAGGAGAAAAGCATACAAATGTATTCAGTATCACTTTTACATGACACTGGAGCTTTCAAATAAAACTCAAAGAAACAGGGAGATGTGTTTGTTATCCACAGAAGAGTAGATGAAGGAGGTGGGAGGAGGAGAACTTAGCAAGGCTGGTGTGCTCAGTTCCTCTTCTGGATTCTTTATGACATCTCTTCCCTGGGGCTGCCAGAGACCTGCTGCCTGATACCTGTGTTTAGGGGAGAAGAGAAGGTCAGAGAATGGTATTTTTAGGTTTGTGATCTGCTTCAGAGAAGAAAGAGCCAAGAGAATTCTAATTTCTACAGCCTGCTTCATGGGAGAAATGGCAAGAGAAGGTCAGAGCAACTTCCTCGCTTCTGGTGTTTTCTCAGTTGCCAACATACCTGTTGTAGTTCGGGGTTTAGAAGGGGAAATAATACAGGACATATAATTTACAGGATTATTTTATAATAGTCACCCAAAGAGTCATATATAAGAGAGTGCAGGAAATCTGTCCACACAGTAAGACCAAAAGAATCCAGCTGAGGTCTTGGACCCCATAGCAATGTCCTGCTTGAGTCTAGCTGAAGACCTACAGCCCATAAAATTGTCCCCCAACAGGAGGCTAGGAGCCCACAACAAAGTCTCATGCAGGCCTGTTTCACGGATCTATGCTGGGAAGGCCCAAAGGTCAGTGGTGGAAACTAGAAAGTCTGTGCCAGCGGGATGAAGGCTCTGTGTTAGCAGACTGAGGGATCTGCGCTGGAGCTAGGAAATGACATTCAAAGTAAGGACCAGAGCTCCCCCAAATATACCACAGCCATCCTCAGCAACAGAG